AGTCAGTACGACGATTGTGGTAACACAATAATTTAGTAAGGTATATAAATTAATTAAGATAACATCTAATTCAGAAATCAAAGTAATAGCAGGGGAAAAGGAAAATGTATGGGAAAAAAGGAAGTATAAAAGTAGGTAAGAAAAGTAAAAGGAAAAAGAAGGGCTTTAAAATATACCCGGAGTATAGACGCAGTTACAGTATTTCTTTTACAGCATTCGTGTTTCAGGATGCCGTATGGTGAAGTACGAGTGTTGGAAGAAATAGAGTTACCTCCCATTTCTCGTGCGTTGCAGCCGATATCGTTTTCGCGTCTCTCATCTTCAAAAGTATTTTTCTCATATACCAGTATTTTGTGATCACTTTCAAATTTATGCGGAAAATAGTTTTCATCTTCACCTACAAGCCTCAAGCCCTAATTCATCCGTTGTTTGAAATCTTGAAATCACAGCTACGCTAATGCGGTTCTAGTTGGACGCTTAGGATGAATAAAATTTACAACTTAAAAGATACTAGACAAATTTTTTTGGCTTTTAACGAAGGATATGAACAAAAATACTAATTGTGCGGCAACTGCTTTCCACTTTTTTTTAATTTTAGAATTTGCGCTATTGTGCAGCGATAACGTCACATTCGTATTTTGCGTTGAAAATGTCCCTGACGGTATGTTTTTGCGCGTTATTTTTAAATTTTTTAGTCGACTTTCTGTACTGCTACATTCTGTTTCGCTTTTTTTTTGCGATCCTTTCAAGCAGTTTTACATTTTTTGAGTCAATTTTTTCTTGTCTCGAGCCATATTTAGCACTTTCGAATTGCATTCGGCGATTTTCTTTATGAATATACTTTGTTTGGTGAATTTGTTCTGGTGCTATTTCGCAAAATGGGGGAGTGAGTCCCATCACGTTGTTTCACAGTGATATATGTTTTATCATGTTTAATGGACTGCATTGCAGCAGCATTATCAGGACTGTTTGGTGAATTGGCTAGTTGGATGGCATCCGTCTGGCAAAATTAAGTATGTCTTGTCACAGGTCTGGTTTATTTTCCCATAATGATATATGAGAATTACCGGAAATCGTCTGGCACGATGTATTATTGACGACTTCTGCAAAATTTTTTATGTGCATGCCGTTCATCAAATGAAACACAAAGAAATTGGCCTGGCAATGGTCTTGATTTTCACTGAACAGAAAATTGAATGTACAAATGTTGGTAAAGGGCGATCATTTTAGGGTGCAACGGCGTTTAGCTATTGGGTGGCTGCAAACTTACCGATTGACATGGAAACGCGATTGCGCTTGCTCACTGAACCGTGCACCGATCGAAGACTGGTCAATGAATGTGGCATTCTCAAGCAGGCAAGTTTTCATTTCGTAGCTTTATCGATTTCAGTGCATTAAAGTTGGGCATGTTATGATTTCTGTTGTTGATTTTTTTGTGTTATTTTATGAATTGTTGCTTTTTTTGTTGCCATGGCTGTTTAGCCGGATTTGTAAGTCCGACCTATCCTTCGCAAATACCGTTTTGAAGTGGGTTCTAAGTTGGTGACTCAATATTTTAAGAAAATTTCTATTTATGCGTTGAGCTATGAATGCTAACAGGCGATCAAAATACGTCTTCATGGGGTTGTGCTCGCAAAAACCGGGTGATCTTGGCAGCAAGCTTGCGTAAGTCCGTAGTTGGCATGACTTTAAATCTGACCGCTTTCAGTTCTCTCGTTTCCTCCCTTCGAACATTTTCACCTGGCACAGCCTACTTGCCGAGTTTGCTTTAGTTAGAAAAGCGCCTTCTAGGTGGAGTAAAACAAAATAAATGGCAACTCGCACCAGACTAGCTGGTGCGATCATGCGTTTTGTGCAATTCAGCCCATC